TTTTTTTTTTTTTTTTTTTTTTTTTTTTTTTTTTTTTTTTTAATTTAAAAAATTTATGAATGAATTTCTTTCGAGAACTAAAAAAAAAAAAAATATTATAAGAATATATTTATTAGTCTACTTTTTAATTTATAAATGATTATATATTTATTTAATTTTGCTTTTCAATTTTAATTTTTTTTTTAAATAATACATATATTTGTTAATTCAAAATTGGAATTTTTAAAGATAAAAAGAAGAATATTTAATAATTTAAAAATATAAGATAATAAAATTTTTTAAATCTTTTAAATAAATATTAAGAATACAAAAAAAAAAAAAAAAAAAAAAAAAAAAAAAAAAAAAAAAAAAAAAAAAAAAAGTCTAAAAATACAAAAAAAAATTTATAAAACAAAAAAAATTATGAATTATTTAAATATTAGATATATGTATGTTTATGAATATAAACATTTACTGTAAAAAAGAGAAAAAAAAGACAAAGATTATGTAAAATAATTATTTTATTTTATTTTATTTTTTTTTTAATGAAAAGTATAAACAGATATGTGTGTAGTAAATAAAAGAAAGAATACTATAAATCAAATATAAAATGTGTATACGCATCATTTTATATATATATATATATATATAAGAACTATTTATAATCTATATTCTTCTAAAAAAATCAGTAATTTTAGTTGATTGTAGATTTAAAGATTTTCTCTTTCTACTTTTAGTGATTTTAAAGTTATTAAAAGTTTTTAATGAAGGAGAACTTGCTATCAATTTGGTGGTTCTCTCTGAATTATCTATATGATTTTCTTCTATTTCTTTTGAGTATTTTTTAAATGTTTCTTCAGTTTTATCATCATATTTATCAATATGATTATTAAAAATTTTATCAATTGATTTATTTCTAAGCAGATCTACTTCAATAGAATGAAATTTCATTTTTTTCGGAGTTAAATTAATTTTCTCCGGACTATTTGAACTATTTATTTTTTTATCAATAAAACTGATAAAATCAAAATTATTATTAATTGTCTTATCGCTTGTTTTTGATTTAGAATAAAAAGAAAGATTATTATTTCTATTATTTTTATTTCTAGATTCTAATGTTGCAACTCTTCTAATTGTTTTATTTTTAATTTTGATTGATTTTGAGTCATTTTTATCATTTGATAAATTATTTTCGTTACTATCTATAATATCATTATTAAGTTTATATTTATATAACTTTTCTTTTAAGCTTATAATTTCATTATCTTTTTCACTAATGTTTTCTTTTAATTCTTTAATAACTGATTCATTTTTTTTCTGTATATTTAAACTATTTTTTATATAATTTAAAATTACATTTCTTTGTTCATCAAATGATAATACATTAAAACCAAATAATAAATTTATTTTATTTAAATCTTCCTTATTTAAGTCATCCAGATACTTTTCAATTAACTTATACTTTTTTAATTCTTTATCATATTCTTCAATTTTAGTTGTTAGAATTATTTTCTCTTTAAGATATTCATCTTTTAATTCTTTTAATTTTAATTTTTCATATTTTTCTTCATTTATTTTTGCATTATTTTTACTTATGGTTTCAGTTAAAATTTTATTTTTGTTTGTTAAGGTTAAAATTTCTAATGAATACTTCTCATTTTCATTTTGAATTTTAATTAATTCTGATTCATATTTTTTTAAATCTTCGTATAATTCATTTTTACTCTTATTTATAATATTATCATCAATTAGTATTTTGTTTTCTTCACTAATCTCATAATGAATAGATAACAAATTTTTTTTATAACAGGTTGATTTGCAAAGTGGACAAGATTTTTGAAAAGCAATCCACTTCTTCATACATTCATAATGAAATATATTACCACAATTTTTTTCTATACATAAATTATTTTTTAAACTTAATCTACATATACAACATTCAGGTATAATATACATTTTATTTCTTAAAAAAAAAAAAAAAAGAAAAATAACCAATTAAAAAGAATTATATATGTAGATGCTTAAAAATTAGATATAGGGTATAACAACAAAAAAAAAAAAAAAAAAAAAAAAAAATTATTAATTTGTAATATTTAAAATTATATAAATAAGTTTTCCTCAAAAGCAAAATATTTTTAAAAAAATAAATTAATTAAACTTACCATTTCAATTTTAATAAAAGAAAGATAATTTTATTAATTTTTTATTTAATCATTTTATCTCTACAATAAATTTACACACTAATTTTTTCCCTTCTTTACTATTTTTTTTTTTTTTTTTTTTTTTTTTTTTTA